CCGCTCCATAAACAACCTGGCCACCTCAGAACTTACATGGAAGGGGGGGAAGTGACTCCTGCATGTTTTCTCTGACTTCCATATACATGTGGAGCACACCACTCCATAAACAAATAGATGTAATTTAAAAGATTTTAAATGAGGACTTAGTTTTTCATTCATTTGTTCACCATATTGCTGAATTCTTTGACAGACTTTCAAGACACATTAAAGAACAAAGAGGGTTGATCTCTCTTCAAATAATGAAATCCTATCATTTCTACCCTGTCCTTCCCTCCTCCTAGCCCAGGCACTGTGGAATGACTTTAGTCAGGGTGGACCTACAGTCACAATAATCCATCACTGAACAAACATTTACAGAGCAGTTCTTTCCAGGCACGAACTGGGCATGAGGGATAAGGTAAGGGAGGTCTCCGCATGGCAAAGAGGTATACAAACATAGCTGATGCCTGGTACGACAAAGTCTGTACTATGAAAGGATCCCGGTCCAGGGATGGGGAAGAGTATCTAGTCAGTATAGACAAGTCCAAGCAGCCTTTAAGGATGTATTCTTCATGGATGTTCTGCCTACAATTCCTCACTAGTACAATAAACAGAAGAACCAGTATCTTCTTGAGACCTGCCTATATGTTGGGCTTGCAGCTCTTCAGTTAAGAGATTCCTTTACTCAAGAGGAAAACTCAGATTCATGGACTTGCTAATTAGGGGTCACCGTAAACACTACCAAAAGTAATCTGAGGTCACCTTATTAAATAGTCACTAATTATCCTGCAGGTATATTTAAGGCGAGTCTGAGAAAACATGCTACACTGTTTAAAACAGAGATCTCGCCTAGTGCGGTGTCTAAGTAGGCCTTCCTTATACTCACAGGGGGAAAGATGGGCACAACAACTCTGAGACAGAATTTCCAACTAGTCATGTCCACAATGTGCAATTCTGCCCCAACATAGGTGTCTTCACATTGTTAGATGACGATGAAGTGGAAAGATAAATAATCATAAGAGCAGCAAGAATTCCTATCTATTATTTATAATATACTGGGTACATATACATGCTTTTTTACACACCTGAATATCTCTGTACCCTCTTACAAAAGACATTTCTTCAACCTTCAGAATGGTAGAATTTTTTTTTTTTATTTCTGTTAAGAAACCAGCTTGAGCCATAGCCAGAATCTGATGTGGATTTTTTAATTCCAAACTATGACCCTGATCCCAAGGCCACACTGCTTCTCACTATGAGACAGGTGGGCAGGCACAGGCACTGAATTTCCAGACACTCTTGAGACCCGGCTATGGAAGTGGTATGACAATATGTACAAGGGAGATTTGTAAGGCTGAGCCACTGATTTTCTGTTTACATCAGGTAACCTGCACACAAATCCACAGCAGATCCTCACACTGGCAACACCAGTCAGCTTCCACATTCCAAAGTCTGATACTTGTGGCAAGGGCAGTTTCCAAATCTGGCGTGGCTTCTTAACTGGGGGAAGAGACTCTGACACCCAATCCAGTGCTCTGGAATGTTATAAACATCTGGTTCTCCCTCTACTTCAGTGGCCTACAGTAATGGGGGCTAATTCCACTGCAACTTTCAACTATATCAACACATTCTCTATAATTATTAGTTGAGAAATATTTAATAAATAAGTTGTTTGTATTTATAGATTAAAAAGAATAAAATTTAAATAATGTGCTGTTGACCAACCATCAAGTAATAGGGCTGAGCTGGAAACCCTAGCAGCATGCCAAACTAGCAGCCATTAGTAGTAAAGGTACACTTACTCCAAGAAAAATCTTCAGTGACACTTTTAACTCAACAATTTTCCATTTAACTTTAGAGTCCAGGTATTATGGTTTGGACCAAAGGTCTCTGAAAGGCCCATAGCAGCCTGAGTGGGAGGTTGTGAACCTTCAGCAAGTAGAACCTCACATTAGGGTAATGGGGATGTGCTCTTGGGATGGTGAGACCCTGGCCTCAGTTTTTCCATTGCTTTCTGGCTGCCATTAGGTGGGCACCTTTGCTCCACCCTGGGCACCCCATCAGGCCTCATCGAAGGTTCATAAGCGACAGAGCACAAAGCTCTTCGATCCCTGAGCCTCCAGAAACTGCTCTTCCTTTGAAGCTGTCTGTCTAAAGTTCTTGTAATCACAGTGAAGGACACACTAGGGTACAAATTTCAATTTATCAAAAGACAAAATTTTTCTCATGAACATTTGAGGCAAATAACATTGCTTTGATGTTAAGATAACATGCCCTGAAACAGGTTGACATCAAGACAATTTAGAGTCTTATTTATCCTTGGCTTTTGATAAAGTAAAGAGAATAAAAGAATGCATAAAACCACTGGAATCATGAACTAGCTTTTATGTTTATTTAAATCTTTGAAATAGAGTGGAAAAGATAAAAATCTATTAAAAGCAGGCAGAGACAGGCAGATTACTGAATCCGAGGTCAGCATGGTCTACATCCAGAGCAATATAGTGAGACCGTCTCAAAAAATTAAAAACCAACAACCGAGGGCTGTAATAGTACAGGAGCTAAGACTGCTGGCTGCTCCTCCAGAGGACCTGAGTTTGTTTCCCTGCATTCGCAGGGCAGCTGACAGCAGTTCCAAAGAATTCCATGTCCTTTTCTGGCCTCTGAGGGCTCTGCAAACATGATATACAGACATAATATACAGGCAAAACAACCATACACATAAAAGAAATGAACCTTTAAAAAATTAAAAAATAAAAATACATAGAAAGATGTACTCTGCTTTTAAAGGGCATTCTTGTTCTCTAACTCCAGGAATCTAACATCCACTTCTGGCCACTACACACACAGAGCTACACAGAAATACAAATAAAATTAATCCTATAACTGTAATTCTCTAGTTTGGTGGTGGTGGCACATGCCTTTAACACCAGTACTTGGGAGACAGAGGCTAGCGTGGTCTACAGAGTTAAGTTCCAGGATGGACAGGACTACACGGAGAAGCCGTCTAAAAAAACAAAAACAAACAAACAAAAATCTACTTTGTCTGAAGGTACTAAAACAGCTACCCATTTGGAAAAAACCGAAGTACTTCTGAACGCTAATCTACTTAGCCCTGAAGACAATACATGAAATAATAAGTATCTTGATGCTGGCAGGTACTCAGTTCTCTAAAGATTTCAAAATACATGACAACGATCGACACAATAACGCATTCCAAATACAGGATACCGCAAAAAACTCTGTACTGTCAATTTTTATTTGGGTTCTACTTTTTCTACTAGAGAAGATAACTTTAAGATAGAACCTCAAGTAGGAGAAACAGGGCTGGAAAGATGGCTCAGTTAAGAAAGTACACTGTTCTTACGGAGGACCCTAGTTCTGTCACAGAGAAACTGGCCAGTTATCAGCATAAAGAAGGGATGGAAAGTACTCACCTAAAGATGAAGTTTGGTCTGAAACTCACAATTTAGCCAAGGATGTCTTTGAACAGCAATGCTCCTGCCTCGGCCTACCAAGAGCTGGCATAATAGACATGAGCCACCATGCTTCTCTTTCCTGCTTTTTCGAAGTGTACTCTCTTTCTTTACTGGCTGCTCATTTGAAGATGATCTCACCACCCTGTATCTGACTCCCTCCAAGTCCACAAAGAACAAGGTAAATAGTTCAGTCAGCATCTAGTAGGTTGCCATGCTCCAGTGGATGCCCCACACTCAGGCACACACAAGGAGTACTAATGGGATGGAGTGGAATATTTAAAATAAATAAATAAGACATAAAGTTGGGAGGGTCTCAGGGAGAATGAATAGAAGGGAAATATTTGTGGACCGTGGTGGATACAATCAGAACACATTGTATGAATTCTCAAAGAATGATTTAAAAAAAAAAAAAACTTTGAACGCTGGGTGTTTATTAGGAATAGGTAACACATGTGCACTGTATAAAGTTGTAAAGGTATATATAGGAATATTCTGAGAAGAGTGGCCTGAACTGAATCTGATCTTCCTCTTGGAAACAGTCTATTTACTATTTACTAAAACAAGAGCGTTTGCCACATTTAGCTTGGGGACATGTTTGGGGACAGGCACTGACCTGTGAACTGGACAACTATGTCCAATGTGTCCAAGAGAATCCAGTCTCTGCATTATAAACACAATGCAGGATCCAGAAAGAAGGATGAACATTCCTTCTGCACCATATACACTATAATACTAGGCAATTTTTAGACACACTGCTTGTGATTGTTAGTTTTCTATCTATGAAATAAGGATACTGTTGTCATCTTCATTAAGCTCTAGTAATGCGGTTAAGTTAAAATAAAGTTCAACGTTGCACGGGAGTGGTAGTGCATGCCTTTAATTCCAGCACTCAGGAAAAGTCAGGCAGGTGGATCTCTAGAGGCCAGCCTGGTCTAAAGAGTGAGTTCCAGGACAGCCAGGTTACAGAGAAATCCTGTCTCCAAAAGGAAAAAAAAAGTTAAATAGCTTGCTCTGTTTTTGTCTTCGATGTTTACTTTATGTACATGAGTATTTTGCCTGCACGTTTGTATGTGAATCAGAAGGTGCAGCTGTGAGCCCCCATGGGGAGGCTGGGAGCTGAATTCAGCTCTCTGCAAGAACAAGTGCTCTGAGCCTCCGAGTCAGAGTCATCTCTTCGGCCTTCAACGCAGTCTTCAGCTTTCTTCGTGAAGTATTCTCACAAAGGTTTGTTACAGTTGTTACTTGGTGTCTGCTTTGTTTTGAGACAAGAGTCTTACTATGTACCCCAGGCTGGTCTCAAAGTCACAGCAATCCTCCTGTCTCAAAGTTTAACTCCATGCGCACAAATTTCCACTTGGGGGAGGGGAAACTGTGAAAATGACACTTCCATGAACGGATTCTATTTAACAGAACCAAAGACTCCCTGACAATTACCTTTTGTTCTTCTCTTTCTGTTGCATGGTGGCATTTTTCAATTCTCCAATGCCTCAAGAAATCTCGAAGATATCCAAAGAGCGTGAGCACACCATACCCGACATATGTGAGCACGGCAACCAGCATGGGTGTTTCTTCAAAAACTTCATTAAATGGTCTTTTATAAAGTCCTCCATTTTCTGTAACATGATGAATCTAAGAGAGTAATTAAAATTGTTTGTTGAAACCACAGCAAGAAAAAAATTCTACTTAAATTCCAAGTCCTGAGAGATTTGTAGAGCAATATACCTTGAGAATTAAGTAACAGGCCAATGAAAATGCTAAGGCCATGCTTATTTTCAAGAGAAATGATTTAAAAATACTTATGAACAATGAAAGGGGGAGAGGTAGGAAAAGAGACAGACTCAACAATCAGAATCAACACTGATCTTATCATTGATTTTTCTCAGATTCCAAACACTACTATCTCAGGGAGCATTGTTCTAATAAAGAAAATGAAAATATATAAAAACAGACAGGCTAGCCGGGCAGTGGTGGCACACACCTTTAATCCTAGCACTCGGGAGGCAGAGGCAGGTGGATCGCTGAGTTTGAGGCCAGTCTGGTCTACAAGAGCTAGTTCCAGGACAGGTCCAAAACTACAGAGAAACCCTGTTTCATAACAAAGTAAATTTTTTACTACCAGCTATCCTTTGTGTTTGTTTGTTTTTTGATTTGTATTTCAAGACAGGGTTTCTATGTAGCCTTGGCTGTCCTGGAACTAGCTCTGTAGACCAGGCTAGCCTTGAATTCAGAGATCCACTTGTCTCTGCCTCTGAGTGCTGGAATTAAAGGTGTACACAACCACCGTCTGGCCATACCAGTCATTCTTAAAGCCACACAGCTGCAGTATCTAATGACTATTGGCATAAGGCTGCAGCAGGGGCCTATTAACTTTCCTCAGTGATAATACACACATAAAAGTAAAAGGAGGCTGTGGAGAGAGCTCAGCAGCTGAAGGTTCAATCCCTAGGACCCACATGATGAGCTCCCATAAACTTTCCTGGGTCCCACACATGAGCTGGATGTAGCACACAGGTGCCCACAATAATACCTGTAATACGGCCAGGAGAGAAAAGTTCCTTAAAAGGGGTATGAGAAGAGGATGGGGAAAAGAAAAGGGTAGGAACATCAACCAAAACTAAAGATTATGAAAAGCCTTGCAGAAACCAAGAACTCTGTAAAATAATCCTAAAAATTTTTTTAAGGGATTTCAATGAAGGTACTCTGGATGGGTAGATAAGGCTTCTGAGAAGACCCCTAAACACACACACACTAAATAAAATTAATTAATTAATTAATTAAAGAATAAAGCCTGGCAGTGGTAGCATACACCTTTAATCCCAGTACTAGGGAGGTAAAAACAGGCAGAACTGCCAGTCTGATATACAGAGCTAGTTCCAGGACATTCAGGACTACGCATACACACGCGCACGCGTGCACACACACACAAACCCTCTCTGGGGAGGGAAGAAGAAATAAATGATAACAAAGAAGGTGATATTTAACTTAGGAAGACCAACTATTAAGAACACCAGCAGCTGTCAGGAATTGATCCTGACTCTCTTTATTTTGATCTAAGTATACATTCCCAAACTTCTACAGATTATCCCTTATTTTACCATTTCAGATATGTTTGTTGTTTTTTTTTATGGAGACAGGGTTGCATTATGTCACCTAGGATAGCTTCAAACTTATAAACCTCTGCCTTAGCTTCTGAGTGCTGGGATTACAGATATGTGCCACTATGCCTGGCAGCACTTGGGTTTTAATATAAAAGCACAAAGATACTTTTGATTTCAATGATTAAAACATTTTACTGTTTGGTTAATTTTAATGGAAATCATATTTTACAGAAGAAAGCCCTGAGGAAAGAACTAAGGACATCGGGCTGCAGTTAGAGCAATCAATCAAAACTACTAAGAGCACATAATCAAAAAAGCGATGTACAGGAGTGAATTACTATAGTAGAGAAGTATCAAAGGACTCAAAAAGGTCCTCTCTTGCTCTGCCAGGCATTCCTGATTAAACGTAAACACAAATAAGAACTTACAGCCAGGCGGTGGTGGCACACGCTTTAATCCCAGCACTTGGGAGGCAAGGCAGGTGGATCTCCGAGTTCAAGGCCAGCCTGGTCTAGAGTGCCTGGATAGGTAGGGTACACAGAGAAACCCCATCTCGAAAAACCACACATAAACAAACAAATAAAAAAGCGAGTAGTAAGGAAGACAGTAACATCAACCCTGGCCTCTGCAGGGACACACACGGAAATTCTAGCATCTCATGCCCTCCAGTCACAATTATAAGCACACAAAAATGTGCTGCTGACAGTACTAGTCAAGAGAAGATTCTCAAATTCCAGTGAACACCAAGGTGCATTTGCTTCAACAGGACTGTTACTGATCAAGGAAATGCAAAAGAAAACAAAACAAAAAGGAAGACTTTCCTCCCCAGTCAACACTACAAACACACAAACATAAAACACACTGCAAGACAAAGGGAAAGAAAAAAAATCAAACACCCTATTTTGTCCGTAGCTTTTTTGCTATCAAGCAACCATATACATGATGCAGCTGAAAAGGCTGGAGAGGTGGCTCAGTGTTAAGAGCAAAGGTTGCTCTTTCAGAGGACCTGGGTTTGATTCTCACCACCCACATGGCAGCTAACAACTGTCTGTAGCTCCAATTCTAGGGGATCCAATGACCTGTTCTGGCCTCTGCAGGCAGCAGACCAACAAGTGGTACACAGATACACATGCAGACAAAACACCCACATACATGAAATTTAAAGACAAAATGAAAAAGAAAAGGTACCTTAAACCAAAGCAATAACAGAAAGATATACTCAAAAGATACACATACAAACACACACACACAAACATACACGTATGTATGTATGTATGTATGTATGTATATGCTAAAACTGATTAGAAAGAGACGTAAGGAATCAGGGTGTTGAGGCTGGTAAGGTCACTATCTCAGTGGTTAAGAGCACTGGTCAGTTCTTCTAGACAACCTGAGTTTATCACATTTCCAGCACCCACACAGAGGTTCACAACTGTCTGTTCAGTTCAGACCCAGGGGATCTGACACCCTCTCTGAAGACACTAGGCACAAACCATGGTAAACACACTACATATGTAGGCAAAACACCCATATACATTAAATAAAAATTTAAAGAGAAACAAAGTAGGTAGAAGAGAGAATGGACAACTCCACAGCAGCTTCCAAGTCATTCTGAGGCTTGTTAGCTTCTTGTTAGTTTGTTTGTACAGAGTTTTATTAGCCCAGCTAGACTCACACTCACTGTATACCTGAGAAAGGCCTTGAAACTCCTAATCTTCCTCTCCACCTCCTAAACTCTGGGATTACAGGTATGTACCACCTCAGTCAGCCAGTTTGATTCTTGTTTCTTTTTCTAGTCAATACTATTACTGAGTTTTTAATGCTTCTGATTCTATTCACTATTTAAATTTAAAAAAAAAAAGCTACCTATGACTACCATAACTCAGGCCATCTGACTCGCCATCAGAATCTCCAACCTTTTGATATTACAACACAATGCTGTGATCTACAAAGGTCACACTTAAAAACCAAACAACATGACCTCAGAATGTGATATATGTCAAAAGGCGGGCAGATCTCTGTGAGTTCCAGGCCAGCCAGGTACATAGAGTGATATCCTGCCTCAAAAACAAACAAACAACCTTGTAACAAAACAACAGAAATAACCAACATTTTGGACAACTTTACCATCTCTTTGTGTTGGACGCATTCATTTGTAGCTGCTATCGTGGGAAGAGGCTGAACACAGGAGTCCTCCTTTCACTTGCTCATTAGTTCTCAATAGGCCTTGGAGGCTGGGGCAAACAAATCTACATTGCAATCCCAATTTTCACCCCCTACAACTCTACATTTCCATTTCCATTGCCTCCATCTTGTGGATTCCATGGTATCTCAAACTCAACAAAACTAACACGTACCTTCCCACCCAACCCCTCCCTCCCTCTCCCCAAACCCGATCCTCCCTACTACATTACCTCTTTGGTCACCAGCATCACCACCCAGTCGACCCTGTCTCCCAAGTTTGCTGTCATCTTTAGCTCCACCTTAGTTTTTGGCTTCCACCCAGAGTTGGTTCCAGACCTTCTTGTTTGGCACCATGGAGTATGTTTTGTTTTTGTCTTTTGAGACAGGGTCTCATGCAGCCCAGGCAGGTCTGGAAATCACTACACAGCCAAAGATTATCTTGAACTCCTGATCCTGTCTTCACATCCCAAGTGCTAGCTAGGGTCACAGGTCTGTGCCACCACAGCTGTTGGCATCAGGGTATTTGGCGGGGGTGGGGTGCTGAAAATGTTGCATATCTTGACAGGTACAGTATGCAAACACACAGAAGTGAAAATTCCACAGCCTGGTACAAGAGACTAGCACATTCTACCCCTCAAAACTTTTTTTTTTTTTAACTATTTCAATACCCTTCTTGCTATCTGGTCTCCACATCCCATGGGCTCTCCCAATAGACCAATAACCATATCCAAACAAATACAATCACAATACTCCCTTGTTCAAAAAGTGTCACTATCTTTATAAGGTAAAGTCTCAAGTCACCATCATGGCACCCGACTAAGTCTGTAGCCTTGTGTGGCTGACATTTCTTCCTCCTAGCTCCTGAGTTCTTTGTGCCAGTCACAGCAAACTTCTTGCCAGTCTTAAAAACAAAAACAAAAACAACGAAAAAACCTCTTCCAAGAATGAAACCCTTCCTCAAGTCATGCCCACTGCTGCTGAAAAGTCAAAATGTAGTAAATTAAGTACATTACTTAGAAATGAGATTAACCCCAGAGACTGTGCAAAAAGAGAAAGCAGAAAATCAGTGCTTCTGAAGATGAAGACTGTCAGAGGAGAGAAGGCTGTCGTGTATTTCACAAGTCTGAATCTAAGTTCAGATGCTTAGAGCCATGGGCTAAAATTGAAGTAAAGGGATTCGCTGACTCAAGAAAAAAAATAGTGAGTGTGTGTGAGTGTTCCTTAAGGAAGGAGAGAGAGAGGAAGAATAGTAGAGGAGGGAAAGGGAGAGAAAGTTGGAGAATACAGCATAAGAGCAGAGCGTTTGAGAAATATGAGGGGTGGAGAAAGGAGGGGAGAAGAACAGAG